AATAAGTAAGCATTTAAAACACTGCTTTGCACACAGTAAGCATTATTCTTAAGTATTAACAGTTCTCTCTAACACCACAGCAGTCCAGTTACAATTGTGATATCTTCTTTCCTCTTATACTCTAAGTTCATACTGCTTCTGAAATTTCCATACCAAGAAACAACAGAACACAAGAACCAATATTTTATTTTATGTATTAGTCAAAACTAACTACTAGAACTAACTACTAGAACAAATTTTCTTTCACAGGTATTAACATAGAATCAAATACGAATATAAGCACTTAAAAAATATGTGATGGAAAGAACGCTAGCAAAAAGTAGGGTATAGATCAGAATACATAATATGATAATTTCATGTTTAAAAATGGGAAGAATAATACGGTCATATTCATGCTTGTACATAAAATGGCTCTGCAAAGTTTCACAGCTGCTTATGGAGAGGGAGAAGTGCATGTCTGGGTGAAGGGTATGAAAGAGATTATTCACCATGTATGCTTTAGTATCTTCAAATGTGAAACACCAAATGCATTATCTCTAGAATTCAACTGAAAGAAATGTACAGGGGTGGTCCTCAAACAAGTACTCTAGAAGCCAGGTTTCCAGTCTGCTACTAATTGTGTTACCTTGGACAAGCTGTTTAACCTCCGAGTCTAGGTGGACAAAGAAAGGAGTAGCAAAGATTTCTAGGTTCTATTCTAAAAATGTAAGATTCCAGGGTCCCTGGACGGCTCAGTCCATACAGCATGTGACTCTTGATCTCAGGGTCATGAGTTTAAGCCCCATGTTGAGCAGCAGAGCTTACTTAAAAAAAAAAAAAAAAAAAACTCAACGAAAGTAGTAAGTAGACAGCACTATTACTTTTTTTAAGATGTGAGAGAGTTATTAGTTCAACATTTTGCAAAAGAACACAATTTTTTGAGGAATTGATGGTTTTCAAATACTATTTTACAGTTTTTAAAACCGTAGAACTGTCAAGCCTATTCATCTTTTTTTTTTTTTTAAAGATTTCATTTATTTATTTGACACAGAGCAACATAGCGAGAGAGGGAATACAAGCAGGGGGAGTGGGAGAGGGAGAAGCAGGTTTCCCGCTGAGCAGGGAGCCCAATGGTTCACTCAATCCCAGGACCCTGGGATCATGACCTAAGCAGAAGGCTGACGCTTAATGACTGAGTCACCCCAGGTGCCCCCCAAGCCTACATTCATCTTTAAAGATCACTTGTACTATTCTTAACATAAGAATCCTTGTAGAAGGGGGTCTAATGTAACTTGCAGAAAAAAGCTATAAAGAATATTCTGGAAAAAAAAAAAGAATATTCTGCATATTATATTCTTTCTCTTGCCACACAATTCTGAGATTGTTTTAAATGCACTTTAAGTCTTTATACTATGGGTTGGAGGAGCAATAAAGTACACTAAAACAATTTACATCTAAAATACATAAATGACTATACCTAAAAAAAACATACTACTTAAGGATGTTTATTATCAGATACCGCAAAAAAAGGTAACACCTCTGATCAATGAAAACAGCTGAGTATATAATTTATTCCAGGTATCATCCAGGTGTTCATTCCTTACATCATCATTAATCCCACCACTCACCTGGCAAAGCAGGTTTTAAGAGCCCAGTTTAACACAAGAAACAACCGAAGATCCACAAAGATAAGTGACTAGCTTGAGGCCACAGTCTAAAAGTAGCAGATTAGGAGCCCACCCAGAATCCGTGGTTCTGAGTGCTGCACCGAACAGGGGTTAATGTTGGCTGGGAGGCTGGTGCAGGTTTGCAACAGACTATTTACTCATTTATATAAAAAGGAGGAAAAATAACAAGAAGAAAGCAAACCTTTTCATAAAGCTAAACGATTCAATTTAAAGTCTTTTATTTTGAAATTCTGGCCTCTCAAATCATTTGAGTTAAAATATCCTTTTTATAAATGAAATGAAAGCAGCTAGTGATGTGGGTTACTGTTGCTGTTTTTATTGGCTATACCTGGCAAAACTAAATAAATAAAAATAAATTTGGCAACTCCATTGCACCCTCCCAATATGGGGTGGGGGTAATAATTTCTTTTGAAATCCGAAGTCTGGGGGCGCACATGGCTGGTTCAATCAGTGAAGCATGCGACTCCTGATCTCAGGGTTGTGAGTTCAAGAGCCACACTGGGTACAGAGATTAAATAAATTAACTAAAAAAAAAAGAAAAAAAAAGAAAAAAAGAAAAGGAGAAAGAAATCCAAAGTCTGGGAACTACTCCCTTAGACAATGATGCCTCCCAAAATACTAGAGGACTTCACACACACACACACACACACACACACACACACACACACACACATGACCTTCAAAATTCTCTCATTCATCTCTATTCTATTTGGCTCAAGACACTTAAGGATTGAGAAATGAGAATAAAGTGAGTTTTAGCAACCCAAAGTCACATAAGTTAACAATGGGTTCTGGTAGTGGACTTTCCTCAGGATTCTTTTTATTGGGTAACTTTTCTCATCCTTCATCTGCAATTCTACTCTAACCTGGGCTCAGACTTTCTTTTCATAAGATAGTCACATTTTTTTAATACTTCTGCTAAGTAGCAATCAATACTTAAGTCAAATAAAAAGAATTACTTGAGGTCCCTACTAACCTGATTTTATTTAAAGGCAGTCTGACAAAATAAAACCTTTTAATGATGTTTATCCTACCAACTTAGAGAAAAAAATTGGTCTATAAATCAGACTCAAACCATTTTAATTTCCAAATTTCTGTACCTCCATTAAATATATTTGTATATATACACGCACATAAACGTGTATATGGTATATACATACATGGAGCTTTGCAAGTAGTTTATAAACAGGCTGATCAAACTGAGTAAGTTTCTTGAAAATAATGTTATTGTGTTTATAGCAAATAAGCTATTTACTCCTTGTTAGCCATGTCTTATTTCTTATCTATCCTCCTTTAGCGAGCATGGATTTTAAAATATTTTATGTACACAACTACACAATTAAACATTTGTTCCTGTCACAACATACTAAATTCACATTTAAAACTATAAAGACATCCAGGTACTTTCAGTCTTACTTACATACTTATATATACTTTTAATATTCTATGTGATGTTATTTATATTATTTTGTGGTACTTTATTAAAAATTTTTAAAAGAGCACAAAAACCTGGATCTTAGAGGATATGCAACTGAAAATATTTATAGTCTATACTTATTGCATGGTTCAAAAACACTCCTTTTTACAGGCAAATCGATTTGAAAACCGTAACCGTACAGTTTGGGTAACATAAAGCACTCTTTCCATGCCTACAATGTAAAAGGTTCAGTTAAATCTATTATGGACCACAGAGTTTGCAACTCTAACACTGGTAATAATTCTGCCTAAATTCCTTACTAATCTAGTATCAAAGTTATTTTTATTTCCTTTTTTAAAAAAGATTACTTGAACTAAATTGCTGGATAGTCTTTTCACCTTACACTTCTCACCGTGTGTTTACGCAACTAACTTCGGGTACAGGTGCTTCCAAGTACACTTGGACGTGCCATAAGCATGAAGGTGTCTGCACAGAAGTGGCTCCGCGCGTCTCGGAGGGATGCTCAGTCTATGAAGTCTACCGACGTGGCTCAGAATACTCAGCCCAGAACGTGACTCTCCGTCACACCGGCGTGCACAGCTGCTCAGTAACACCCGCACTGAAACACAGTGTTTACTGTAGCAATAACGACGCCTATTCTCCCGCTAAAGCAACAGGGTCTGGCTTTAGGGCAAAGGGGACAGAGCTGTCTAGAGGAAAGACGGCGGCTGGAGCCTGCGAGCGGTCACCCGACCACCCCAGGGCCTGCCCGCTCCCGCAGTCACCAACGTGCGGGTCAAAACAAACTGGCAAGCGACACGTTCCTGTCTACGCAGCGATCTGCAGGTCGGGGGCGGGGGGGAGCGGCCCGAACTCAGCTCCTGCTAAGAAACGCGGAACAGCAGGCGAGTACGTGTCCGTGAGAACCATCACCGACCAGTTCCGAAGTCGCGTCTTTCACTTCGGCCACTTTCAACGAACCCCCCCCCCCCCCAGCATCTTTAAAAGGAGCCGCTTTAGGACGCGAATTCCTCTTTTCCCAAAGTAACTCGCCCAGGACAGCCAGGACAGCAAATTCCAAAAGACGAACCCCCACGATCCGAGAGCCCCGAACCACCCCGCTCGGGGAGCCGAGCGCTCTCGGTCTCCTCGGGGTGCCCCCGACCACCGACGACCTGCGCGAGTCGGCCCCACGCCCCGCACCGTCCCCGCACCCGTCTCGGGCACACGGGGCTCCCACCGGACCCGCGGTCCGGCCGGCGCCGAGGACAGGGTCCCGGAGCCCGGGTGTGCGCGGCGCCGGGCTCTCGCTCCGCACCGGGTCACACGCGCTCCGGCCCGCGAACGCCGCCGTCCCAGGGGCCGCACGCTCCTCGGCGCCGGAGCACAAAGGGGCCCGACCACCGAGCACCTGTCCGGGCCGGGAAGACCGGGACTGCGAGCCCCGAGTCCGCGCGGGCCGCACCGCCCCCGGAGCCCGCGGAGCCCCGTGCCCTCGCGGCGCCCGGCGCAGAGTCCCGCACCCCGACCCGCCCCCCGGCGCGAACCAGGAAATCGGTCGCGCCCGCCGCCACCCGCCCTCGGCGAGCCCCTCGCCCCCGCCCGGCCCGGCCGCAGCCCGCCCGCCCGCTCCCGGTCCGCGCCGGCCTCCCCGCGGCACTCTGCCACCTCATCCCTCCTTGCCGGCCTCGCGGCCCCGCCGCCCCCGCCCCGGCGGCCTGCACTCGGGCCGCCCCTCCGGCCAGGGCCGCCGGCCGCCTCCCCACGCCCGGCAGCGCTCGCGGCGCCGTCGGTCCCTCCGCGGCCCGGTCCCCGCCGGCCCCCAGGCCCGAGCTCCCGCCGCGCGCTCCCCGCCCCCAGCCTCCGCCCTCACCCAGCGCGGCCGCTCCCGGCCCCGCTCCCCCGCGCCGGGCTACCTGGAGGCAAGGGCGGCGGAGCACTTCACCCAGGGCCCCAGGTCGCAGAGGGCCCGGTGCTCGGGGTCCCGCTCCTTCTCCCGCTCCACGTGGTAGGCGTAGATGGAGAGCAGGATCCCGGCGGCGCACACTGCATACCGGGCCACCCGCTCCCACCGCGGCACCGACACTCTCAGCAGGACGGGCGCCGCCATCTTCCCCCCGCCGCCGCCGCCGCCGCCGCCGCCGCCTTCGCCGCCGCCGCCGCCCTCCGCCTCCACCTCAGCCGCCGCCGCCCGTCGGGGCCCGACCCAGCCGCCGCCGCCGCCGCCTCCGCCGCCGCCGCCACCGCCGCCGCCGCCGCCGCGCCCCATTGGTTCCACCGCCTGCTCCGGGCCCCGCCCCCACAGGCGCGCGGCCCAACCGCCCCGAAAGGAGAGCGCCCGGCGGGGCGGGGAAGGCGCGCGCGGGCACGGAGGGAGGGGGCGGAGCGCGCAACCGTCGGGAGGCGGGGCCGGGAGGCGGGGCCGGGAGGCGGGGCCGGGAGGC